TAATACTCAGGTAAATCATTCCGGCCATCGGAAACGGCGTCTTATCCGGCCTAAAATGGCGAATTACTGCATTAATTAGGACCTCATTTCGCCGTAATCCATCATACTGTACTACGAGCCGTTTCTATCGCTAGAAAATGGTCGTCGTTTTTTCCCGGTTTTGGTTCCGGAATCTAGTATGATGGATTACAGCGCCATTTATCGACGTTTTACATCGTTAATCGCCATTTTATAGCCGTTTCAGACCATTTACGACGTCATTTTATGGGACCTGGGTAACAACAATGTTCAGATCTTACATGTAATGTAATTTCGAAAATTTCAGAATAGTTGTATCTCAAATTTTTCAATATTTCGAAAAACTTAATCATTTCTGAAATTTTCCAAATAATTGTTGATCTGTATTACCGGTATAGTTATTGAGATGATAATGATGAAAAATGTATTAATTTTCATGATCTTTTTGGAAATCTGAGCCGTCCGTAGACTCATTGAATATGTGCACTCACTTGAACTAAATTAATAGAATTAGGAATTTCCATGTTATTGAACATTATATTGTTGCATCATTAAAATTTTAGAAAAAAAGTGAAAAATAAAAGAAGTCTTCATTGACTGAGAGCGCTCAGCAGATCTCAAAAAGATATATTGTATTTCAGTATTTACGAAAATAGAAATCATTTACGCGGAAATGACAAAAATCAGAGTCTTTAGGCATCATATAAAGCGACCTTTTCTTTCTCTTTATGTCTAATTAATTTGTGTGTCCAATAATAAATAACAGGAAAACTTTACTAGAATTGTACTGTGTAACTCATGAAATAATTAATTCTATTGATTCTTACTGTTCTACTGCGTAACATCACTACATGCCGAGTGATCATTGATAATGTAATTAATATAAAATTTTGTTTTATTTAAAAAAATTAACTAAAAGATCAAAGAAATCGAATATAGACAGAAAATTTGTCGAGACATAACGTTGTTCTTATAAAGCTGTTTTCAAATTATTGTGTAACATGCATGAAAACGGAAGTTTTATTTACATGTTGTTTACATATGTATATATTTAGGATAATATCACATATAAATGAGCGTGAATATTGAAATTTGTATGGAAAGAAATTCAATTTTGTAAACCTTTCAATAAAACAAGCTAGATTATGTCAAAGTTTTGAATATTTCTTGAAAGCAATGATCGTAGGAATTGATAGAAAAATATTAACTATATTTTAGACAAATAATAGTTATAATCTTGTCAATATCAAGTGATGCATATAAATTATACATGCAAGAGCTTACTCGGGTAATCATGCAATGATAGGTAAATTATTGAGTTTTTCTGCACGACAACATTGAGCATTTCTTAATAGAATAAATTCGTGTTTTTCTAGTCATATAATGATGTGTATAGTTTATGATCAGAAGTTCATTATATTCAACAATGCTAAATATTAGTTTCTTATAAATCCACAATGCGTATACGACAATTACATTGGCAATTTCGAATATAAGTTCTATTTGTTTATGTATATGATTTGTCTTTTATCAATCTTATGAATTACTTCGCATATGTATTTATGCTTGTCGTGCAATGAGAGATTAAGCGTAGGAGTTCACACATTTTCTTTAACGCTGTAAAGTTAACTAAATCATTCTACCTATTATTTGATGATTTTGTTGTAATGTTTTAATAGTAATAGAAACTTTCTTCTAACAAAATTGCAACGGTAAGATTTTGCAATATCTTTTTTTTTATTTTAATATTATCATTGTACAACAAGATCTTGGGTGTATGAAATAGTGTTATCTTATTTGAGTCCAACATTAAATTGCATATTACGATTAAAAAAGAAAATCATGTCATATATTTGTTATTTCCTCCATTTTCTATGCATCGTATAAGATTATTAGAAGAAAATTCCATTGATTATCATAGTTTTCGAAGGAAAAACAGGAAGATTTACTCTCTATGTTGTTTTTTATATTCTAAGAATAATTAACTTCTAAAGAGTTTCCTAGGGTTATAAAATATTGTTCTGTATAGTAATTACTACGAAAACAGACTATAATATGAAGGAAATAGAGACCAATTATTTATTCAAATATATGTTAAAAATTTCCGTTTAAATAGATCTTGTTCATAAGATCAAAATGATATTTTAAATTATGTCCTTCTTTTTTTTATAGTATTGATTACGTTGACATGAAGTAATATAGCTTTATAGTCATATTAAAAGATTTTATTTCTCATACTAAGTCACGCTTTGTATAAGTCAAGTATAGATAATTTATTTTATTTTTTTTTATCACACATGGTTTTATTTTCTTATCCGATAAAAAATAAGGTTGCTAATGACTCAATAACATGAAGATGACTAATGTCTATTCCACAAGGGAAATCATAAATGTATTCGCTTCAGTTCCATCAGCCTCTATAGAGAAAATGATTTTTAGAACTAGAGAATATGTTTAAGAAAAAAATCTAGTAATCAATAAATCTTAACAAAAGAATAAGTAGAGCCGGATATTTGTCCACATTAACGATCTCATAGCATATGTCATCTCGTGTCAAACGACGAAAAAAAAATATAAATACTTTAAATCATACTAATGTTTCTGAAGACATCCATCCTAATGATCCAATTCTCCATAACATTACTACTTGATGAAAGCAAACTAAATATTAATATGCGCTTTGGTTTATTCATTGATATTTACAAATAACAATTAAATATTCTAAAGATGAGTTTCTTTAGATAGTTTTTTTTCAGTATGAATGACTTTGGTAAACATGATTAATGACAATGTTTATGTAAGATATTTTTGATTTTTGTCATTTATGTCATCGATTTATCATAATAATTCTCAGAAATATCCAATTGTTTATAGTATTTAATTATATCAAACATTCAATGAATAGAAAGAAAATATTTTTTCATAAAAACAGAAGTAGTTCGAAGGATATCGGTAATATCCAAACCTGGATCAGAAGTTTGCGCTAGAACTTTTTCGTATTTTAGAATTTGAAAGAATTTTGACTATAGCTTTCTCCTACTCTTCGAAATATTGCCGTCTGCTTTTAATCTCATCATGCTATCACTGCAGCAGCACAACCAATAATCTTATTTGTAATCAATGAAAAATAATCGGCCTACTTAGTAGTATTCCAGAGTATTAATTTAATCCAAAGTTATCGAGTATAAAAACAATAATGTATAGGTCAACCATAGGTCAAACCAGCTAAGATGTAATATTTGATGCATCTAGATAATCCGATGTTACATTTTAGCTACTCTCAAACGCATTTATATTCAACTGCGGGAAACATGCTCCAGATATGAACGCATTCAAAAGTGTTGACGTTACTTCTAAACGCATTCAACTATGTTTAATTCAAAAAGAGCATTTAGAAGTACTTAATTCTTCCTAGAGAACGCGTTTTTGTATCCTTCAAAAAATTTAAATAAGATATTCTTGTTTTAGTTTTAGAAATGAATGACGGATATATTATTTTAAGTTCTATTCTATTAATCATATTGTGTATAATAAATGCTAATTCATGCAACGTTTTCATGATTGAATAGTTTACTTTATCAAATGATATTAAATTTTTTCCTCTTCTTTTATTTTTTTTGGATGCACACAAGTGCTTATGACATTTTTTTTTGACGTCAGAATTCTTATCACTGATGCTTATCTTTCACGGAAAGCTTTGTTGTCAAGATAAGTTTATAGAAGAAAAATCATGATGACAAGAATCAATAAATATAAGTCCATTAAGATGTTACTTTAAAGAGAAAATCATTTCTCATACACGCAACGTTGAAAGTAACGTCAAATAACATCACTGTATCAAGCTTAAAGATTGGTTAGATTAGACAAATAAAATATGCTCTTCGTAGTATTGCAAGAAATGCCATAATGTGAGCAATTAACAAAGAGATATTCATTTTCATTTTGTTTTAAACAAATTTGTTAACGTACAATAGATATACATAAAATAGTTGAATTATCTTCACTAGTTTCATAAAGACATTTACAAAAATAAGTAATATTCACAAGAGAAATATGTCTACGTGTATACTTTTTTTTCATTAATATTGGTAAAAATGATATGTCTAATCTTTTTTCCTATGATAAAAGTACTCACTAGGAAAAATAATGTCGTATTGATCTATTTAGTTTCAAATGGAATATCTGAGTATTCATAAATGCTTTTATGAGAATACATAAAACTTTTTTCTCATAGATAAATTATTCTCTACTTATCTAACCATTCTTTTTTGTTGTTGTTACAGTCTGAGAGGAAGCAAAGATGCACAAAACATCATATTGACTAGAGAATATCACAGACGAAGATAGTCATCATGAATAGAATAATAAGAGGCCACAATAGAGATGCTTCTATAATATTGTTTTCTCACCTCTATATTTAGTAAGATAACATTGAGTGCCGACATAAACAACACAAGTAAAATTAAGAAAAATATCTCTGGAAAAATAAGCATCTTTTAGAAAAAAAAAATAATCATTACACTTATGATTGTTATGAACCATCTGAATTTAAATAATCGATTCATTTATATGAATAAGGTAATTCCATCCATCTTATTGTCTACTTAGACGATATTTTCAGAAAAAGTCTTTCATTTTTTTCTTTCTAAGCAATTTTATTGATAAATTTGTTTTTAAATCTTATATTCTATTTCTATCCGCATATGTTTTCATAGAAGAAATTTTCAGAAGTAGATAAATACCCTTCAGTAAGCTTTATTATACATTACATTGACTTGTCATAGTTTATTATCAAAAATGTTTAGTTAGATAACATGAACGCTAGAACACGCATGCTGAGAAAAAAGAAAAGAGCTAAAAAAAACCATCTAAAGACAAAAGAAAAAACAAAAATAAATGAATATGAAAATAGTTTCTTAGAGACTTTGATCAAATTCTTTCATAGTTATATCGTTTTTCTAGATTAAATTTATTTCGAAGAATAAGATTCCAGATGGTTGAAAAAGAAACACAATCTTTAATTGATCTTTATATACATCATCCAATAACATATCTTTCATTATCGGATTTATATACATATGAAATTATTATATTACTTATCTATGGTATCATAATAATATTTTCTTTTTTTACAAATTTTATTGCAATAATTATATTTACATTTGGTCGTCATTCACGTTCTGAATTATCACCATTTTTGTTTAATTTATCTGTATTTAATATAATAATGACTGTTTATTGTATACCATTTACAATAACTTCACTTATATTTCAACGTTGGTTATATGCACGTGAATTATGCATTGTACTTGATGGTTTTAAAACATTTTCTGTATCAGGTGTATTATTAACATTAATAGGAATAGCCGTTGATCGTTATTGTGCTGTTAAATATCCATTAGCAATTAAAATCTATTCCGTACATAAAAGAAATTTAACAGCATTATTAATTATATGGATATTAAGTATTACTTTAGCTCTATTATGGTTACCAGCAAGATCATTACCAATGCAACAAAAACGTTTATGGGTAAATTCTCGTTCATTATTAAAAATTTATATTGATTCAATTGATAATGAAACAGATACATCAAAATCAGATTATTTATTAAAAGATCTACATTATCGACTTGTTGATACAATTCAATGTGTACCAAATAAAAATAAACGACCAGTTGAAGTTCAACGATCTATATTAAACTTTTTGCAAACATATTTTATTCCTTTATTTATTCTTGCTTTTGTTTATTTACGTATAGCAGCTACGTTATGGAGACGTTCTAATCATAGAAATAATGATCTTAATGGTACAATAGCAATAACAAATAATTTATTTACTCATGAAAGTATACAATTCAAAAAGAAATTAAAACAAGTAGGCTTTTATGTTTCCTTTTTATCACAAAACATTTCAATGAGTGAAAGTAACATTAGTTTTATAAGTATGTAGTATTTAAAGAGTTCTATTACAACTACGATCAACTGAAGATTACTTGTTAAGTTCAAGTACGTAAAATGAATCGGAAACAAAGAGAATATAAATAGTAATTATGTTTATATCTTAAGTTATTTATGTTATATAATGAAAGATCTTTAGTTTAAAATTTATAATAATTATTCACTACAAGTGTTTCGATGCATTTTTTGCGAATAGTTCTGTATAAATCTCGAAATGAAACAATATCTTCATGATTCACTATTATCAGATGAACTAGG